TAAGTAAAGTTGCGTTGCGAAAGTTGGAACAAAACGGGTATAAAAAAATTGGGAAAAGTGCGAAAAACTGGTAAAATCGGTACTTTTGTGCTTGAAAACAGATTTTTGTATATTCTAACGCGAAACTGTTTTCGATTTAGCTATCTAAAGTGTAAAAAATTTGTATTAGCAAAGTTCCGTTGCGAAAGTTTGACCAAAGCGAGTAAAAAATGGGGGAAATGTTGAAAAACGGCCAAAATTACTGTTTTTGTCCTTAAAAAGTGATTCTAAAGCTAAATACTTTCGATTTAGCTTTTAAAGTGTCAGAAATATGTATTGGGAAAAATTCGTTGCGAAAGTTGGACCTGAAGGGAAATAGGCATGTGGGTAATTCAAACTTAACGGGTAAAAACGGGTAATTATGTGAAGTTTAGGTACTTTTTCGGAAATATGCAAATACTTGGGAAGTATTTTGCTGTATTCAGTCAAAAGGTATATTTAGAAAAATTTAATTGGGTAAAAAGTGGAGTTTCGTGTTTTTTCTAAATATTTATTCTACAAATTATGCAACATTTATTAAACAACATAAATTTGGGAAGTCTGTATTTAATAGGGAAAGAGGGAAATGTTGTGCATTTTTGGCACTTTTTTCATACATTTTTTAAATGTTGCCATAACTCAATAATATCTCAATTGTATCTTTATAAAATAACAAGAAATACATTTGTGAATAAGGCTGGGCGACTTTAAGAACTTTTAAACAAAGATATAACTTTAACTAGAAGTTTCGATTGGTTATATCTTTATTCCAAAAAATCAGAAAGGGACGAAATACGGCACGCGGTAAAATTATTTTTTTTAATGAAGAAACAAAAGTAATTTCTACTTACATATATACTTAGATTTTGTATGGAAATTTTGTTTTATGAACCTTTTATAAAATAAAAATGTTGTTTGTGAATAAGGGGATTAAAATTTTAATAATTAATATTTTAATAAACAACAATTTACAGATTTACAGAGGCATTTGGTTAATTCGCGCATGTTTTTAAAGGAACAAATTTTGTTTTGTAATTTTAAAATTTATAAATATAAATAAATACTTTTTGTGATGCAATTACGTCCTATTATGACAAACGACTGAATCGAATTTAATGAGATTTGAACCACACACTTTACGGTTTTGGGAAGCTTTAATAGGCATTTTTCGAAACATGATGCAGAAAGGGGAAAAATTAGTACATACTTTTTCAATGTCAATGAATATTATCTGTATCTGTCAAAATTTTGTGTAGAAGGATACGGATGAGATCGTCTAAACACAATTGTTCAATTCACAATCAAGTTGTATATTGTACCTACTAAAGTGTAGTAACAGTGATTGTGAACAGATCTTTGCAGCAAGTCATAAGTTTGTGTTCTCAATGAAAAAAAAAAAAAACAATCAAAACAAATATAGATAACAATGTCAAAAGATAAAAAAATCAAAAAATATTAAATTAATTAAACATGCGAAATAAACCAAATTAATTTCTTTGAATTTTCAATTCTTTTATTTTCTTTATTCCACATTTTAAACTAATAAATAAACTGTTTTTAATAAAATTTTAGTTTTTTTGTTTTGGTAAACAGCTGTTTGTTTTTGATTTCAGTGTTACCACTTTATTGTTTTTTGTGCTAAAATCGTTTGAATTTTTTGTTTATATGTTGAAATAAACAACTGGCAACACTAAACTTTCTTACAACATTCGAAAAACATATGAAAAATTGTCGTAGGAGTTGTATAGAGCTTTTGCATAGAAAATACCAACAACATTGTTATGACTATTGTAGCAGCTGCTGACATACAACGCTACAACATCGATTGTGAATTGAACAAATATGTAATGAAACCTTCACACATTGAGAGAAAATACGCATGGAAAATTTGACATTCGTATAGCTCTCTTTGTCGCATTAGATCAGGAATATATTTTTATGTAAACTCAAAAAAAGTGAAACAGCTTACTTTGTTATTGTTTTATACCAATCGGTGAAACAAAAAATTATAAAACATACGACTTTTAATCTCTTTTTTGAAATACAGATTGAATTTCATCTTACTTATTCTTTAGATTTTACTTACGTAAAGTGTGAAGGCCCCCTAAGGAAATATATATATTTTGGTTTAGGCTTCTCAATTTTTAGTAAAGTATCTTTTCAAATGCTTTGAAGAGTTTAAATCATGCTTGAAAGGAGAAAATGATTCAAAATTTTATGTATTAATATATTTATAGCTTTATGAAATTCAAAATTTTAAAGGTAATTTTTTACCAATTCAAGAAAAGGGGGGGAAATGTGTGTTTTTGGTAAATTTTGTGAAAGTTGTTCTGAATTATATATTTTGAATGTATATTTTAATTTCGATATATTCATTTCAGGGGTAAAAAGCAAAGTCAATGTTAATTTGCATACATTGATTAATATTATAAATCACTTAAAATCCCGGGCAACGCCGGGTACAAAAGCTAGTATTACATAAATCTATGCTTCATTAATATTATATTTTTTCTTTTTACGAAAAAATTAATCGCTGCAAACTGTTCAAAAATTGTGTGAACAATGGACGAATTTATATTATGATGTTCAAATAAGCTCGTATATCACGTGGAATCATTTTATAAATATTTTTTTTATAAAAAAATCAATCGGATCAGGAAAAAAAACATCTTTAGAAAAAAGATTAAATTGTACTTTTGCCTTATGAATATGAAAAAAAAACCTATAAAAATATTGATGAAATATTAAATATGAAGCAAAATACTGTCGATGATATTGTACAAAGGTATAAAAATGAAGGTCGCATTCATTTAAAGAAAAACGAGATAGCCGAAAAAGTTGACAGATATAGATGAGTGTCTAAAACTTAGAAAAAGCAAGACAAATCCGCGTTAAGTACACCTAAAATTGTTTCTGAAGTGAAAGAGTAATTAATAAAGACTGTTTCAGAAACAACAATTCACCGAAAGATTTAAAGTCAGGCGTATAATGGCCGAGTGTCTAGTAAGAAGCCTATAGTAAGTAATAAGCATGTAAATTTGTGAATGAACATCTCAAAAAAGATTTAATTTGGTGGGACGACGTTATATTTCTTTAATAAGAGCGTATTTAATATATTTCAAGTGCCGGAAGAACAATGGTGTGTCGGAAACCAAATGAAGAGCTGAATGGAAAAACGAAATTAAGTAACAAGTTAGAAAAAACCGAATATTAATGAAGCATAAATTTATGTAATATCCATGTTTTAAAATTTTTTTTATTATATTTAATGGATGTACATATATAAGCAATTTGATATGTATAAAAAGCTCTTAATATGTACAACAATAAGTACAAAATATTTTTTTAAATACCTTAATTTTTTTTATACCCACCATCAAAAAAGATGGGCGGTATATTGATTTTGTCATTCCGTTTGTAACACATCGAAATATTGGTCATAGACCCACAAAAGTATATATATTCTGGGTCCTTATTAAATTCTAATACGATCTAGCCATGTCTGACCGTCTGTCCGTCCGTCTGTCTGTCTGTTGAAAGCACGATAGAGTCCGAACGGAGCAATATAGAGGATTGAGATTACTCTCTATAGGTAAGGTTTGTTTGGTATTGAAAATAGGCAATATAGGTCCACGGTTTCGGATAGCCCCCATACAAGTGGACCCCTGAAAAACAGCTTTAATGGGCATATCTGTTTCAAAAGTACGAATATAGCGATGAAATTCGACATAAATAAGTTTTATTTGATCCAAAATCTCTCTGCCAAATTTTATGAGGATCGGTCCATAATTGACCCTACCCCCCATATAAGGCCCCCTTCAGAAAATTTGTTTAACGCTCATTACTGGCATAAAAATACGAGTATAACAATGAAATTTGACATAAGTAAGTCTCTTATGATCAAAAACTTCTCTACCTAATTCTATGTTGATCGGTCCATAATTGACCCTACCCCCTATATAAGGTCCCCTTCAGAATATGACTTTAACGCTCAATACTGTCTTAAAAATACGAGTATAGTGATGAAATTCGACACACATAAGTTTCAATGATGCAAAAATCTCTCTATCAAACTTTATGTGGATCGGTCCATAATTGACGCCATATAAGGTGCCCTTCAAAAAATTACTTAAACGATAATTACTGGCTTAAAAATACAGAATACAGAAAAGCGATGAAATTCGACACATATACATATTTTTTATACGAGTTAAAACCTCTTTACCAAATGTATTGAGGATCGGTCAATAAGAAAATTACTTTAACGATCTTTGCTGACTTAAAAATATGTGAACAGTTATGAAATTTTATATAAAAAACATTTATAGGAACATAAATCTTCCTATCCAATTTCATGCGGAAAGTGTCGGGAAGTGATATTCGATGTAAAGATGTTTTGTATGAACCAAAATTGGTCTACAAATTTTTTATGAAAAACGGTCAATTATTAACCCTCTCTCTCATATAAGGTCCTCATCAGTTAATTTGATGAGTAATATCCTTTTAAGGCATACGGTTTGATGGTGGGTATATGAGATTCGGCACTGCCGAATATAACACTCTCACTTGTTAAAATTAAGAACAGAAAAAACGGAAATGTAAAAACCGAATATTAATCACAGTCACTGTATGTATATTTTTTAAACAACTTTTTATTATTTTAACAAAAAGTTTGAACCTTATAATTCTTTCGAGGTGTATAGTAGCATTAACTATGATTATTTAAATGAAATTCTTATCGCACACACATTAGAATATACGACATATACATGTATACTCACATAACTAATATTTTACAACTTCTAATTTTTTGTTTGTTTAATTTTTGACACATATTTAAATATGTATCTCTGCTCACCAACCACACTACAAAATTCATCAACATCTTTTAAACACCCCCCAAAAACACTTTTCCAACAACCATATAAAATCTTAACCACACGACCATGACTTTAATATCATTAACTACAACATAAGAATAGAAAGCCATGCTCAAAGCGATCTTATGCGTTTGGAATCAATAAAGCATCAAATTTTATTCAAATTGGGCCTGACGCGAAAACCAAACGTATCACATCCATTGCCAAAACAATTTATATGGGATACAATATATCGAGCTGATGGTATTAATAGTTTTCATGAATTTTCAAATACAAATAATTTCCAAGATCATCGTCACATTATGCCTCAACAGAATTATCCGTTTTGGTCGGCAAAACCAAATAAAGGTGCCAATGATGATCGAAAAGATCGCTCTAAAGATTCAGAAGATCTAGAAGACGGAGTAGACAATATTAAACGATCGCTAGAGAATAATATTGTTTTACATAAGAAGTATGGCAAAAATAAACAACAACTGCAGCAGCAACAACAACAACATCAAACACTTCCTAAACTTTACAACAATGATATCAACTATCAAAAAGGAGCAACATCAAAAAACTTGAATCAACTTTTATACACAACAAATCGAAACAAATTAAATCACACAAACAAAACGGTTAATAATTTCACAATATTGAAACAAACTAAACACCAACAACAATTTCATAAAAATTCACAACACTCAACAACAGCCAAAAAAACAACAATAATACACCAACAGAATCGAAGACAATATGAACCACTTAATCAATACACAAACAGCAACAAAAACAATATTCAAAATAATAATAAAAATAATAATAGAAACAATAATAATAATAATGATAATAATGTTAATAATAGTAACAACCACAACAACAACAACAACATTATTATGGTACAAAAACACCTTCGCAACAACAATAAATATATTGAAGAAGCAAAAAAGTTTACATATCTAACGGATATCAACAGTAGAGATGATAGTTTAAATAGTATGGAGTATCATAATCCCGACATTGATGACAATAATAGAGTAGTAAGAAAGCAAAAGCAACATAAAGAGCTATTGCAACATAATGTCCCTAATGTGGAAACATCTGAAAGCAGTTACCATCATCATTTTTATATCGATACTCACGATGACTCCGATAAAGGAAATGTCCACGTTGATGATATTGTTGCACATGCAAATCCAAGTACTATTCATGAAGGTGGCAATGACGTCGTACACGACGACGATGGTGATGGCGATCGTTATCATCATCATTCGCATCAACATCGGCATGAAAATTATTTTCCTAAATTAGACGCTTTCGATGAAAATGATGATTTTTTCGGTAGTACTCAGGAGATAATAACTTTTGCTGAAAAAGGTAAATAGACATTACTACCAAACCTACGTTTAATAGTTTTGTGAAAATTTCATTTTAATCTATTAATGTTTTTCTTTTTTAAAGGTAAAATGTATAAGAATCATCGATTGGTTGAGTTTTCCCATCAAAACAATGAAAAGCCAAAACAGAAGCTTCATGTGCGCAATGCTGAGATACACATACGCATCGACAAAATTTCAATAAAAAATAAATCCAGAGCTGGCTCAGGAATAAAACGCAAAAGACTGAAAATATGGATATTTCAATTAATTGAAAATAATTACACTTACAAGGTAATGTATAAATTTTGTCCTACAGGCTGTCTAGAATTATCCTCCTTCGTAAAAGAATTGTAAAGTTTCAAAAAAATATAGGACACAAAAATTTTCTCAAACATTTTTAAAATATTGATAATTCCCCAAACCATTGAATCATACGACTTGAATGAAATTTGTTAACAAAGTTTTAACAACAAAACTGAAATTTTTAGTTGCTAAAAAATCTGGAATTGGAAAAAATCAGGAACTCAAAATATTATTATTTGAGGCTCAAGACTAAAAAAAATCAAGAAATAATTATTAAAATTTCAAAATACATAAATATTTTACAATGAGAGTAAAAAAAATAATATATATTTTTTTACTTTTCTTATTTTTTTTTGCTTTTTATATAATTTTATTTACATTTCTTTATATTGTGTAAAACTTACATATGGACAATTCCATACCATCGTTCCATAGTGCTCTCACATAGAACTAAATTTGGCAAAAATAGGAGTTACTGTAGATCAATAAAATTTGGCAAAAATCCAAGACAAAATAAAAAAAATTTGAGCTAATTCGGTCCAAAGATAATGGTACCATCTAGTGAATGGTATGAAAAGCCAATAATCGATTTTCGATTTTTTCGATCAACTATTTTAGTTTCCATTTTTATGTCGATTAATCGGGCCCAATAAACGATTATTTTGACAGATTACGACTATTTTTTAAATTTTTTTATATAAAAATGTTTCCAGTTTTTAATTAAAAACAGTTAAAAATGTTATATTCGTTCGAAATCGAATTAAAATATTAGATGCACCTTAAAAAAAGGTGCTGTAATTACCCTTCTTAAAATATTATTGTTATGGGGTTCACTGTTGTCCCTTCGTAAGCTTGAAAAACCATTCTTTTATTCTTTTTAGATATATTTTAATTTTTTAAAATTTATCATTTAAAAGGTTTTTTGAATCCGTGTTTAACAGTGCATTATGGTTCAGATGACCACTTTTTTGACCAAAACTAAAAATGTGTCCAAAAAATATTTTTATGGTGTAATAGATATACTATTTTGCTTAAAATTTAAGTTCAATGACAGAAAAATATGCCAATTTACATAGTTAAGAAATTTAAGTTTTAACAGAAATTTAAAATATGGAGTTATTATTTTAAACCGTTAGATAGGTATATTTCAAATTTATCGTAAACATAAATTTGAGTTATTAATTAAATTAATTATATTATAGTTATAAATTACTATCCAACTTTAAATTTGTATTCTCCAATATTTAACGATATTTGCTAAATTTTGTAATATTTAAAGAAAATACCCCTTTATAACAAAATGTCAGTTTTCCCGAAAATCGCAAAATTGGAATAAATCGCCAGTTGGAATAAAATCCCACTATTTCCGACAAACAGATTCTTAAAGTTTCATACTGGGAAGAGGTCGAACTTTTTAAAAGCTTATATGAAGTTGGTGATCGCAAAGATTTAAGAAGTACCCCCACACTCTTTTTGGGTCAGCTTTTTACGTTAATTACACTAGTTTACAACGATTTAGCTCATGATATAAAACCTATATGAATTTCTTTATTTTGGCCGTCTAAGTGCAGAAAAAATATTTAAAAAATCTAGTACGTAGAATTTTTGAATATTCATAAAGAAAGAAAATGCTAAAAAGGGTTAAATTAGGAGGAAAAAATTGGATATTTAGAGTTGTAGTTATTTTTTATATAAAAAATTTTACTGGTCTTCCTTACAACCCTCTAACAATCGATTCCTGTCACGAAAATATTAAAAATTACGTTGCAATAATCTTAAATCTTGGTGAAGATATGCCATTTTTATCACTCACACTTTTAAGAGTTTTTTAGAAAAAGTATAAATGAGAATGTAAGAAATGAATTATGGGGGATAAATACAGATCCGTTAGTTTGTAATTATGGCATAAAATGTCAATAATTTTTTCGATTTTTTTTTAATTTTTAAAAAAACTTAACAAAACAATTACTAAAAATCGGGTAAAAAAACAAAAAAAGTGATAATAAATGGGTTAAGAAAGTCGTAAATTTTATATAATTGAATTTTTTTTCTGAGTTGGTTGTTAGGTTCCCAAAACAGGTGGAAGCACCCAAAAAACAATTCTCATTTTCAAATATTTTTCCAGCACTACTGAAGAAGGATGCTTAATAAAAACCACTTTATCTCAAAATTTCGACGTATAGGAAAAAAATAAAAATTGTTAATTAAGCACCCTTTCCCAAAATATAGGTTTCATTCCATGAGCAAACAAAAAATATTAATTTGTATACTTGTGTTATTAAAGTACTTCCTTTTATCTTTTATATCCAACATTAATTTTTTAATTTGTTTTTTTTTTTCGCTGAAAGTTGAAAAAAGAATCTGCAAAAATCTGTATTCGAAATTACATTTAATTTTTTATGAAAAAAGCTACTTTAGTGGCTTGTTATTAAAGAGTAATTTAATGTTGATGAAAAAAAAATACATTTTCTATAGCTCCGAAGTATAGCCTACAATACTGCATTGAAAAATATGTTAAAATGCGACATACAAAAATTGTTTTGGTCAAAGAAAGTGGTTGTCTGAACCTGTGACCCAACTCAAGTGACCCAACATACATACATACATACATACATACATACATACATACATACATACATACATACATACATACATACATACATACATACATACATACATACATACATACATACATACATACATACATACATACATACATACATACATACATACATACATACATACATACATACATACATACATACATACATACATACATACATACATACATACATACATACATACATACATACATACATACATACATACTACATACATACATACATACATACATACATACATACATACATACATACATACATACATACATACATACATACATACATACATACATACATACATACATACATACATACATACATACATACATACATACATACATACATACATACATACATACATACATACATACATACATACATACATACATACATACATACATACATACATACATACATACATACATACATACATACATACATACATACATACATACATACATACATACATACATACATACATACATACATACATACATACTACATACATACATACATACATACATACATACATACATACATACATACATACATACATACATACATACATACATACATACATACATACATACATACATACATACATACATACATACATACATACATACATACATACATACATACATACATACATACATACATACATACATACATACATACATACATACATACATACATACATACATACATACATACTACATACATACATACATACATACATACATACATACATACATACATACATACATACATACATACATACATACATACATACATACATACATACATACATACATACATACATACATACATACATACATACATACATACATACATACATACATACATACATACATACATACATACATACATACATACATACATACATACATACATACATACATACATACATACATACATACATACATACATACATACATACATACATACATACATACATACATACATACATACATACATACATACATACATACATACATACATACATACATACATACATACATACATACATACATACATACATACATACATCACATACATACATACATACTACATACATACATACATACATACATACATACATACATACATACATACATACATACATACATACAATACATACAGTTATGGTAAGTAATTGTGCGTTTATTTATTTCATATTATTGCTACCTATATATATAAAATTCTAACGTTACTGACTGATTGACTGATTCATCATCGCACAGCCTAAACGGTTAAAGCTAAAGAGTTGAAATTTGAATTTAGATCCACTAAGACGGGATTTTTGGAAATTCGAATGTTTAGGGGGTAAAAAAGGGTAAAAACGGGTAAAATCGGTAACCTCATATCTCCTAAACTAGAAAAGATACAAAAATAGTTTAAAGCTTATCGTCGTTCATTTAAAAAATAAGCGGGCAGGTGTCTGGTACTTTTTTCAATTTCGGCCCCTTTAGGGAATAAACGGGTAAAAACTGTATTTTGGTACTTTTTTTGCACCCCATGTATCTTTTAAACCAGTGAACATTCAAACAATATTTTTGACTCCTTCACAACTTGACGAAAAAATAAAAATATAAATTTAGTACTTTTTGGTTATTCGGATGTTGAAAATTGTACCTATTTTTGGTACTTTTTTCATAAAACATTGATTTTGGTTTATTAACTTATACATATAAATACATACTAACGGGCTCCCACTACGATGTTGCAACATTTTGGAATAGAATTTTTATTTCGTTAATGGGTAGAAAAAAAGTACCAAAAGTGGTAAAAACGGGAAATTTGATTTTATTCAAACACAATGATCCAATTTAGATAAAATTTTATATTTAGAAACACTAAATCTGCTAATGAGGTGTTATTTGGAACCCCGGTACCAAGTGATATTTTTTGGTACTTTTTCATTCTCCATCTGGTACTTTTTGAGTTTTCTTTGATATTGAAATCGAAACATGAAATTAATAATAAATATTTCGTACTTTTTCGTTCTACACAGGTATTTTTTTGAGTTTTCTTTAAAATTAAACCTAGAAGCATGAAATTAAGCGTGTAGAGCCCGGAGTAAGTTAGAATCTATAAAAGGGGACTTTTTGGTACTTTTTCGTACTTCGACTGGTACTTTTTGAATTTTTTATAATATTGAACCTAGAAAAATGAAATTAAGCATGTAGAGCCCGTAGTAAATGAGAATCTATAAAAGCGGACTTTTTGGTACTTTTTCGTTCTACAAAAGGCACTTTTTGAGTTTTCTATAAGATTTAACCTAGGAAAATGAAATTAAGCATGTAGAGCCCGGAGTAAATGAGAATCTATAAAAGGGGACTTTTT